AAAAAATAGTTAGTCTCAGAAACCCACAGGGGCAGTTCTATCCTGTCCTGTAGGATCACTATGAGTCTGGATAGACTCACTGGCAATCTGGTTTGTTTGTTTGTGTTTAGCATAGTCCCCAATCCCCATGTGTGTGTTATTGACAGCGTCTCTTCTTTTTATGGAAAATATTATCATTTTAGTTGCTCTCTCTTCTCTTCTGCTGTAGGAGTTCTTTAAATTCAAGATCCACGAGCTGTGGGTGGATGTTCCTTGGCACACGGGGAGGTCTTAGCCAATGCTGATCAGAGAGTTGAAGACCTCTTGGAGGAAGTGGGCTTTGAAGGATGGGTGGGTGTTGAGGAGGCAGAGGGAAGGCAAGTTAGACAGGGATGCCAGAGGGCAGCGGTTCTCAACCTGTGGGTTGTGACCCCTTTGGGGGTCGCATGACCCTTTCACAGGGGTTGTTCGATTCATAATAGTAGCAAAGTTACAGTTACGAAGTAGCAACGAAAATAATTTTATGGCTGGGGGGTTACCACAACATGAGGAAGTGTATGAAAGGGCCGCGACCTGATGACGGTGGAGAACCACTGCCAGAGGGGGTCTGTGGGCACCTTGAGATGACAAGTCACGACAAAAAGGCACAGATGAGCCACAAAGGCAGAGCACCTGTGTTTGCTGAGCCAGGTGGGCGGCCCCAGCAAGAGGGGGAGAGATGCTGGGGAGACATAAGACCCTTAGCCTGCGCTGGTTCCCAGGCACCATGAGAAAACTTGAGCCCGGTGGCATTTGGTGCACTAGGAGAAAAGCAGGGGTGACCAAGTGCACTGCACATCAGTGCCAAGGCCCTGTGGGCTCCAACTTGGCAGGGACTGTGGACCATGGCCTCCTTGGATTGTGCCCAAATAAGACAACTTCCTGCGGCCCCTTCCAGCTCTGCTTGCTGTGACCAGTATGGCTGCCCCCGTACAGGTGATGGTGTGGATCCATGGAGGTGGTCTCATAACGGGAGGCGCATCGACCTATGACGGGCTGGTCTTGTCTGCCCATGAAGACGTGGTTGTGGTAACCATTCAGTATCGCCTGGGGATCTGGGGCTTCTTCAGGTGAGTTATCAGTTTGGCCTCACTGCCCTCCAAGTACGGATGTGAGGGCTTAACTCTAATCAGACTGGTCCCCAAGGAAACCTTTGCTAATGCATTCAAGTCCCTTCACGAGTGTCCCCAGTCCCCTCCATTCCCTGGCCACATTGGCCCACTTATTTCTGTGCATTTACCTATGCTATTTTCTCTGCCTGCAATGCCTACTCTACCTAACGAACTCCTATTCGTTCTACAAAACCCAACCTAAACGTTACCCCTCTCTGAAATCCTCATCTCAGTACTTTGCACGTTCCTCTACCGTGGCACTTAACATGCAACACAGCTATCAAGGACTTGCAGGAAATATTTGCCAAATGAATGAACGTGGAACCTTAATCAGAGTGGGGCTGTAGGAGGGGAGGTGGGTAAAGACCTTTGTGTCTGGGATGTGGAAGGCCCACCCAGAGCCCAGCCCCATGGACAGTACTGAGAGCCTTGCTGTGACATCTCTGTGCCTCCTCCAACCCCGCTCTCACTCACAGCACTGGGGATGAGCACAGTCGTGGAAACTGGGGTCACCTGGACCAAGTGGCTGCACTTCAGTGGGTCCAGGAGAACATCGCCAACTTTGGAGGGAACCCTAGCTTGGTGACCATCTTTGGAGAATCGGCTGGAGGTGAAAGTGTCTCTGTTCTTGTAAGTGACCTTGGCACCAGACCCCACGCATGGCAAAGATGTGTATGGACCCCTCAGAGACCAGCCAGTTCAGCTGCCAGCACTGGTCCTTATTAGGGTTGGATTCAGGCTGACCTTGCTTACTGCCCAGCATCAGAAGGTGGGGTGTCCATACTCACCTCGGTTTCCAGGGTACTGAAAACTCAGCTTAGTACCATAGGGCCAGACGAACGGGTCTCCAGTGCAGTCCACATGCTTTTCCTGCCCAGTTAGGTTCTTTCTTTGCATTGTCCTATCAGGCCTTGCCTAGGGAAGCAGGAGTGGACACAACTTACCAATGAGAGGAGGCCAGGACCAGAGCAAGTACACAGGAGCTTGTACAGGCAGCATGTGCAAGGAGAAGCTGAGCACGAAGCAAGGATGGCACCTTCTCTGATGGGGTCCAAGTGGCTCTCGGTGCCACAGAGGGGGTCGGGTGGGGAACAGTAGTTTCTGGGGCAGAAGGATGGATATGCTTTGGGGGGAGTTTTCTAATGGAGGTGGTGTGAGAAGGATGGACAAGAGGGACATGGAGGGATGGGGCAGGGGAAGTGGGCCCTAGACACAATCTGGGGACATCAGGTATCCGGCTGGTATGGGGATGGGCTGGACAGACGCCGAGGGCACTTAGGTGGAAACCAGATTAGAAGGTGCTGGCACTGTAAGAAACCTTCCAGCTACCTCAGAGTAGAGCAAAGGGCGAGTGCCGTCACCATCCTTTTAAAACACGCTTGCTTTCACAGCTGAATACTCACTGGGACATTTGACAAATCTTTTCAGAGGGGAGAAAAAGGAAAGTCCAGATAAGCCAAGAGAAGGAAAAGACATCCACAGTTCCACTACCCAGTTACACCATTAGCTCCATAACATGCATGTTTCTAGCATTTCCCTATGATTCAGCCATTCTATCATCTATCTATTTATCTATCTATCTATCTATCTATCTACCAACCATATATCTCATCTATCTACTTACCTATCTACCATCTATCTAGCTACCTACCTCCTATCATCTATCTATCCCTTCATCTATCTATCTAACATCTATCTACCTATCATCTATCTATCTATCTATCTATCTCATCAATCTACCTACCTACCTATCTATCCCTTCACCTCTCTATCATCTATCTATCTATCTATCTATCTATCTATCTATCTATCCATCATCTAATCTATCTACCATATACTGTATATACTAGAGTATAAGCTGACCCGAATATCAGCTGAGGCACCTAATTTTACCACAAAAACTTCTTTAAAACTGTGCTTAAAAACTCGGCTTATACACAAGTATATACAGTATCTATCTCATCTATCTACCAACCTATCTATAATTTATTTATCCTTTCATCTAACTCATCTGTCTATCTACCTACCATCTATCTATCCTCCCATCCATCCATCTACTCTCTATCATCTATCTGTCTACTATCTATCTCTAGCTAGCTAGTTAGCTAATCATCATCATCATCATCTGTTTATCACCTACCATCTATCTTATCCATCAGCTGTCATCTATCAGATCTATCATCTATGGATCATCTATCTATTTATCAATAATCTGGGACACAAATAGGTCATGTGACTGAAAGGCTGGCAGTTCAAGTAAATCTTTGGAAGGAAGGTCTGCAACCTGCTGCTGAAAATCAGCCACAGGAAACCCTGTGGACACAGCTCTACTCTGACCCACAGGAGTTTCTCTAAGTCAGAACTGACTTGATGGGAATGGCTACCCAAAAATCTTCCTTACCATAACAATATCGCATCGATATTTCCTTCAGCGTTAAATATTCTGCGAGAATATTATTATTAAGAAGTCCTAGTGGCACAGGGGCTGAGCCCTTGACTGCTAACCAGAAGGTTGGTGGTTCAGACCCACCAGCCTCTCTATGGAGAAAGATGTGGCAGTCTGCTTCCATAAAGAGTACGGATTTGGAAAACCTATTGGGCAGCTCCACTTGGTCCTATAGCATCTCTAGGAGTAGGAATTGATTCCACAGCACACAATAACAAGAAGTAACGTTACAGTTTCCTTCAGAATAGTATTTCTGTGGCCACATAGTCTTTCCTGGAATTAATGCAAGTTAATTTATTGACCCCTTGGGCATTTCGAATGTTTTGCTGTTACCAACATTGTGGCAGGAGCATCCTTTACACCTTTGTGTGCCCCCGTAATGGTTCAGCTTAAGATCCCTGACGAGTCATGGAAATGCTACCTCATAAATGTGCCTTTGATGTTCCTTGGGAATTGCCAGGCTCTCCTGAGGGTCCTTCTACTTTGCGTGGTTGAGAATCAGAGTGGGCCACACAGCCTCTATCCTGGCCCTCCCCCTGTGCTCCTAGTCCACCCTGCTGACATTCTCTCGGGGAAGCCAGGCCAGGGCAAGTGAGGAGCTATGATGCCCCCTGAGTCCTCTTATGTCCTCCGGAACTTCCTTGGTTTGCCTCCAGACAGAGCTGCAGGTGGAGCTAGCTAGCTGTGGAGGAGCAGACGTGTCATATCGCCACCTTCCCTGGGAGCATAAGCTCCTGTCCCTCCATATCTCTCGCAGGTTTTATCTCCACTGGCCCAGAACCTCTTCCACCGAGCCATCTCTGAGAGCGGAGTGGCCTTCATTCCTATTCTGTTCAAGAACGAAAGCAGGTCCGCAGCCAAGGTAGGTGGGATCTCTGGGATACACCCCCCCGCCCTCCCAAAGAAGCATAGAAGAGGGCTGGCTGGGCAGGCAGACAGTAAGCACCTCACCCCAGGTCTCAGGACGCTAATACTGCCCTAAGAAGCAGGGCATAAGGAAGTGTGGATTTCCAGAACAGCCTTAGTTTGGGAGGCGACGAGGCTGAATTCAAGAAGCCAGGAGGGCTTGTGGCCACTCTGTGTCCACTCCACAGAGACAGTGGTATCTTCTGGAATTGCTGGCAATCGGTGACATTCCTGGGCCACTCTATCTGTGTCCTCTGCTTCTCCCTGTGCCTTTAAATTTATTTCAACAAATCCATACTAAGAATGACCATGCGCCAGGCACTGTCCCATGCGCCACGGCCCCGCCGTCATGGGCCTCACCTGCTATCCGCTTTCTTCTTCTCCATCCAGCTTTCATGACCATGCCATCTGCTCCAGCACTTCAGAACTTCCTTTTGGTTCAAGAAAGTAGGCAGGATTTCTCCTCTCCTAATAGCTGCTCACAGGTCATGTTAGAAGCTCTCAGCCCCAATTCCAGGTCACTTAGAAAAGAGGTTCTCTGTCTCAGCTTTGGTTGGATGGAGAGTCTTGGCCCCATCCATTGGGTTCTCTTGTGAACATAGTCTTCAGGAGTCACTACGAGATCCCAGTAGCCCAGAAGAAAAGAGCATTCTTAGAAAAGTTGGGGGCAAAGGTGTGCTGGGCAGACCAGCTCAGCTGCAAGAAAAGCTAGTCAACTTCTTCTTCAGTAGGGTCTTCTTTTCCTTCCTTTCCTTCTTTTTTCAAGAGAGTGAGAAGTTCTGAGTTTGTGTTAGCAGTTCTCCACACCTTCATCTGGGGGCCCTTCATGGCTAGTCTTAGAATCTGGTCCCTTGTGTTTGTTTTGTTTTATGACCCATGAGTTAATTTTGAGACGTTTCTATCAAATGACTTAAAAAAATGTAAATCATTGGAAACCTCAAAAGAAGCACAATGTTACAGGACCTGTGAAAACTAGATATGAAGCTCCAAATTCAGTGTCCACAAATAAAGTTTTATGGGAACACACACCACACCCACTGGTCCACATTCCATCTGTGGCTCCTTTTCATGGCACAAGCAGGGATGAGTGGCTGCAAGACAGGCCATATGACTCAAAAAGTCTAAAATCTGTACTATCAGGCCCTTGCATCAACATTGTGTTGACCCCGGACCCAGAAAGGTGTCAGATTCCCACCTGAATCTCTAACCCAGAAATTTGCAGACAGAAAACCTTCACAATGGCCCAAACACCTCACTTACTTTGAGGCAGCATCTGTCCTGCATTGGGATGGAGGCAATGCTGTCTTGCTGTCAGATTTGGGATGGGATATTCTTCTGTACTTTCTGAAGGGCCTTTGTGTGCGTCTCCTTATGTGGGCCTCTCGGAATTCTGCACATGGTTGAATGAATGTTGGAGCTCTTGTACACTCCCTCTCATGTGTAACTTCATCTTATAGGGCCGATCGCCCTCCTCATCTCAGAGAGAAGAGGCTGAGAAGATTCAGCGGTGCAGGGATCATGCGCCACTGCTCCTTAGGATCTCTTGGTGATCTGCTCCCATGAAGACCACAGCCGGGGTCTCTGTGGGGCAGTTCCACTCTGTCACGTCAGGTCGATGTGTTGGGCTGGAGAAGGGAGCCCCACAGTGCTCGCATGTGAAGAGTGCACAGAAATAGTAAGAGCCACACAATTGGAGAAACTGAGGAACACAGAGAGAAGTTGGGTGCGTTGCTCAAAGTGGAAGGTGGAGTCAGAGGAGTAGCTGAGATTCAAAGCAGACAGGGTTCATGTGCCGGCTCAATGCCCTCTACTTTCCACTGCGTCTCTTTAGACCAGGGGTGGGGAAACCGTCTTCGTCATCTCATTCAAGGGCTGTGCTAGTCAGACAGTGACGTCGCTCACCTCTAACCTGACGGCTAGAATGGCGTCTCTTTGGTGAGGCGTGTGACGTTAGCTGGTCTGGCTGATTTCCTGGGCCTTGTGTGGCCTCGGGCCAGATGTTCACCGCCCCTGCCTCAGACATTCAGGTTTGAGGGCTTCATCCTCGTTTTAACAGGTAAAAGAGAACAGATCAGGCAACAGAGGGCTACCTGGGTGGTGAAAATGGTTAAGCAGCCTGATGCTAACAAAAAGCTTGGAAGATGGAGTCTCCCCAGAGATGCCTCAGGAGACAGGCCTGCTGATCCCGTTCTGAACGGTCACAGCCATTGAACACCTGTGGCCCACAGGTCTTTGAGACGCTTGAGTTACGGCTGATTTGATCACAGCTGTTTCCAGCTGAGGTCACAAAAGGGCATGTGTCCTCGGCTCAAGTCCTCATTCAAACAAGTAGCGAAAGCAAGACTGGGGTCTTTACCCGCTGGTCAGTTTTCTGCCGCCGCCCGCTGCCTTCAGACAGAGGGTAGTGTAGGATGCCATCTCTGTTGCTGGGGGAGGGAAATCACTCTTAGAAGTGCTCTCACCTGTGCTCTCCGCAGCAAATAGCTACGTTTGCTGGGTGTAAAACCACCACCTCCGCTGTCATGGTTCACTGCCTGCGCCAGAAGACAGAGGACGAACTCTTGGAGACCACGCTGAAGATGGTAGGTGCATTTGTTCTCGGGGCCCCACAAGCCCCACCCCATAAACGTGGCCCCCAGCTTCCTCCCTGCAGCTCCTCCCCCATCACCTGGGAACCCCACCTGGATTCCCAGTAGATCGGAAGAAGGCATTTATATTTTCCCATTTTATTGAGAAATATTTCCAATGTCGAAGGAGGAATAATAACATCACACATGCAGCTGGGTACTGCAGCTACATCTCAGAACCTTATTGGTGATTCCCTCCCTACTGGCCAGGAGTGTTGGCTGCAGGGTCACAGAACAGTCTGTGGGATTTGGGGAGTGAACTCTGTTGGGTTGGCTTAGGCACGGGCCATTCATGAACCAGTCTCTGTTGTGGTCAGGGAGATGGAGGGCCTGAGGTCACCAATGGAGTGAGAGTGGGGAAGAGGAACCCCCCCCCAACTCACCCAGCTCCCGAGGAAGATGGGGTACTGTCTCTAGGAGCTGGGAAAATGGATGGAGGACAGGACTGGCACAAACAAGGGGTGCTCTCTTTAGGGCTCCAGTGACACAGGATCAGAGTCCCCAGGGCCTGTCCTGGTCTTGTCCCTCCTCCTCCCTCCCCCTGTCCTGCTTTCAGGGTAGCCAGCATCCTGCCATGCCCACTTTCTGAAGGGCAGCCTGATGCTGCCAGTGTGTCCCGGAAACACAAGGTCTGCCTCTCTCCCCAGCCTCTCACTCAACTTCTGCCTTTGTCTCCACAGAAATTCTTTGCTCTGGATTTCCTTGGAGATCCCAGAGAGGTACGTGCCTTCGGGGTACCCCTCAGCACTCCTGTTGAATGTGGAAGACAGACTCCTCCTGTTTGTGGGATCACAGGAACTCCTGGTGTTTATAAGACCAAGGCCCAGAGAGGGGCAGTGTCCCACTTCCCTCCTGTGTTTATTGCATCCCATCCCCTGAACTAGAATGCTGGGTTCTCAGAGAGCAGAGCAAGAATGTCTGTTTTTTGACTAGAACTCCAGATTCCAAATGTGGTCTTGGCACATAGTGAGGAAGAGGACCGATTAAATAGCAGCTGAGAAGCCTACTAAATCCCACTCGGTCCTCACCCCTCACCACATCATTCCCAGAGAGGGGGCAGTGGGACAGGTGTGTAGAGTCACAGGCAGAGCCACCAGAACGGGTAACCCGCTGGATGGCAGCAGCTGAAGGTGGCAGTGGGGAGGATGCTGGGGAAGTTTCTAGTCTCTGTGTGGCTGAGAAGGTACCCCGAGAACTGAGATTCTTGGCTCCGGCCTTCATCCTCCGCTCCCTCCCCCAGAGCTGGCCCTTACTGCCCACGGTGGTGGATGGAGTGTTCTTGCCGCACCCACTGGAAGAGATCATAGCTGAGAAGAAATTCAACATGGTCCCCTACATCATTGGAATCAACAAGCAAGAGTTTGGCTGGCTTCTTCCAATAGTGAGAACTCCACCCTTTAGCACAAGTTGACATTTCCGTGGAAACCATCTCTCAGGTGGCCAGATGGGTGGTGCAAACCATCTTCCCCAAACACTCTGTGTCCTTCCGGTCCAAGCCTCCCAAAGGGCGGTGCTAGGTGGGCCGGTAGAATGAGGCTGAGGCAGGTGGGAAACCCGCAGTGTAGACCAGACTGGGGAAGGAACTTGGGAGGTACGGAGAGCTAAGCCTCGGCTCAGTTTCTCTTCCTGACGTGGCTGCACATGGGCTTAGTCATCTAATTGGAGAGCGGCAGAGAAACATGTTTCTTTTGAGAGTAAAATTTTTCTTCTAAATGTGAAGAAGGGCTTCCCTTCCTGAGGGGTTTCAGAGGTCACCCCTAATGACAAGAGCCCTAATGGCAAGACTTGGGGTTTTCTCAGCCATCGGAGGCAAGTGGGGGCATGTGGAATGTCTGTGTTAGCGCTACTTTAACACCATCCATTTCCGACCCACTGGCCATTGTGGGGTTTCCAGCCCTATAAATGACACAGTGGAGGGCACATGATTAGGGCAGCCCCTGCTGAACATTTTCCGTATTCTCTTTGCACTCATTGGATTTCTGAATGTAAGTTCCTTTGCTTCATTTGGCCTTGCCCAATTCATCAAACCCCATAGCCATTTGTGTTAGTCTACAGAAACAAATCCAGGGATACTCACACATGTGTAAGGGAGAACTTTATATTCAAGAGCAATTGTACATTAAGAAAACATCCAGCCCAGTTCAGATCAAGTCTGTAAGTCCGATATTACCCCATATGTTGATACTAGTCCATAAATTCCCCTTTAGACTCATGCAGCCATGCAATGATGCTGAATGCAGGAAGATCACAGGCCAGTGGGTGGGAAGTCTTGTGGATCCAATGGCTATAGAAGCATCTCAGCACTGGTGTGGGTCTCCACGTGGCTCCTCCAGCTCCGGGGTGCTGGCTCCATCAGTGTAGCTCCATGTGGTTTGTTAGCAGCCGAGAGAGACTGTGTCTGGCCTCCATGAGCTGTTTATCTCCATAGCGCCTCCAAATGAGTCCATCAAGCTGCGACCTGATTGACAGGCTAGACTCCACCCTTTCACTCTTAATAGTCTCCAGTTGACACCAGATTATGTAACTACCACACCATCAAAGCATGGCAGAGATGGTTTCTCCTGCTAACTCTTGATGAGTCATAGATACTGAATTATGTTTTCTCAGATGATGGGCTACCCACTCTCCAGAGGGAAATTGGACCAGAAGACAGCTGCCTCTCTCTTGTGGATATCCTACCCCTTGCTGGTGAGGGCCCAGGGAATCTCGGGAGTTGGCTGAGACACAAAGTGGGAAGGGACTTAACCCAAACCACACAGCAATTAAATAGTTCTGTCCCATTTCCTGCCTCGCTCACCGTGCCACCCCAGGGGGATACTCGGAGGTTCTAAGACTGCCTTCTTCACCCAGCTGTTCCTCACTGGGCGGAGAAGCCCCGGGGGCTGCCTGCTGGTGGTCACTCTTCACTCTTGACCCACTCAGGCTGTCCCTGAGGAACTGACTCCAGTTGTCGCTGAGGAGTACTTAGGGGGGACAGAGGACCCCATCAGAAAGAAAGACCTGTTCCTGGACCTGCTTGGAGATGGGGTCTTTGGTGTCCCAGCCGTGAAGATGGCACGTCATCACCGCGGTGAGTCCCCGAGGCTGTGCAGGAAAGCGATGTCACCCCTCCAGATTCCATGCCTGCCTTCCCCCAGTTCCAGAGCCCAGCAGAGGTCTAAGTGCTGAGATGGCTGGGAGGCAAGCCTCAAAGGCTGCTCTGTGTGACCTGGTGATGCCCTGTTTGGGGGTTTTGCCAGAAGCCAACTATGAGAAGAGAGTCTGAGTGAAAGTGGTTTATCTGGGCATCAGTGCCAGAAAACACTAATAGGAAGGAGGAGATGACAGGGAGGTGGGGGCAGGGTGGTGGTGGGGGCTGGGGGGAAGTGTCAATCAAGGGTGCAGTGTCCAGCTGCTGTGCACTGTGGGCCCCTGGAAGTGGGAGCTCTGGGAAATAAGGAGAGGATGCATCTCAGCGTGATCGCATGGGGGCATAAGGGAGTTTGGGTACTTGCCCACCAACTCCTACTGGTCATTGGTGGAAGGCTGTTCCCCGTGACTTGCTAAGTTGCTTGTCCTTTGACCAGTTGCAAGAATGGACAGAACAGACACAGTTCTCAGGCAAATAGCTCTGGGGGGGCGGGTAAATGTTGGGCTGGCCGGCCCAGAAATCAGGCATGCAGGTGGAGTCCTGATGGGAGAAGCTCCAGGTGCTCCTAATTCGTGGTCATGGTGATGTGGGAATGACGTTTGTCTTGGTCCTATCTAGCTGCAAGCTGGCTGTTGATTGATGGAGCAGGAGAAGAGTGGGAGTCAAGCACAAGCTCTGAGAGGTTGTCAGTAACCAAGAAAACCAACAGGAGATGCGGGAGGTGGTGTTCTGGAGGGTGTCCATGTCCGTGGCAGGCTTTGGTCCATGTCAGTGTGACACAGTGGATCTTGGATGGGACCTTCCAACATCACAGTGGGTGGAGCTTAAGGACGGTGGGAAAGCTCCACCCTCAGCAGTAGGTGTCTCCTTCCAGGTGCCTTACTGGTCTCTCCCCTTTCTCCAATACACATTCACTCACCCGCCTCATGGGTAAGCCAAAAAAGGGTTCCCTGGGCCAGAGCCCTCTCTCTCTAAACCTGCCAGGTTTTAAAATTCAGGAATCTCCAAGTATAATTGAAACTCTCTAGAGCATGAAGCCAAAGATGCCTCCGGGGCTCGTGACATTGAGTTTAGGGGTGCCTTTTAAGGAGCTCTGGTGGTATCATGGTTACAAGTTGTGTTGTGATCCTCAAGGTCCACAGTTGGAAACCACCCATCGCTCCCAGAGAGAAAGACGAGGCTTG